CAACCTGTGCCACATTCGATGGGCACAGACATTTTTTGGCACATCCATGGGAGCAGCCACAGATAGCTACCCAAAATAACTGCAGATCTCCAAGTGTGGGCTCTCCGCCCAGCAGAAGGAGGCGATTTCACGCTGTGGTGAAACCACAGGTAATGTAATGCACTTGTTTAAGATCATTAGCCAAACTGTGCTTCTAAGCAAGCTAAGCTAGGTGGCTTGCTCACAGTCTCGGGGCTGTCTTCTGAACTCACATGCTCAGGAGCTGATCTGCATTTCTCACTGTCACACAGCACAAGGGAGACTCCATCCAACATAGATATCTAGAAGGGCTGATTGATGCCTCACCTTGCATCAATTTCCACCACACTCCGCCCCCTTTTTTTTTTTTTTTTTTTTTAAGTAGACTGTAATGTTTAACCACTTAGAAGCTTAGCTCCTAAACCCCATTGCTTAGCCAAAACACCTTACTAAGTTTTATCCCCCTTGAATCTGGAGAACTTGGGCTGGTGGATCTCAAAAGTAGGCATTTATCAAAAAGGGTCCTTCTGAATGGCACAGTGTTGTCCTGCGCTCACAGCGGAGCAGCAGACTTCGTGCTTTCCTCGTAGCAGGGGCACAGCCTGTCAAAACGAGAGAGGTCTTATCACACTTGAGATTATAGAATCACAGAATGCTTTGGGTTGGAAGGGACCTTAAAGATCATTTAGTTCCAACCTCCTGCCATGGGCAGGGACACCTCCCAGTAGACCAGGTCACTCAAAGCCCTATCCAACCTGGCTTTCAACACTGCCAGGGATGGGGCAGCCACAGCTTCTCTGGGCAACCTCTGCTGGTATCTCTCCATTCTCATGTGAAGAATTTCTTCCTAATGTCTTATCTAGATCTCCCCTCTTTCAGTTTGAAGCCATCCCCCTTTGTCCTGTTACTGTCTGTCTTATAAAAAGTCCCTCTCTAGATTTCTTGTAGGCCCCCTTTAGGGACTGGAAGGTTGCTCTAAGGAGATGGGTTGGAAACACACTTTTTTAGTCTGTAAGACCATTTGAGAAGAACATAGTTCATACAGTGACAGAGAAGAAGAGTGGTTACATGCCAATGATCTGCTACAAGAGCCATGATCCCCTTCATATTGCTTCTGGCTATCTGCTCTCTCCAGTTAAATGCCCCGGACCAGTGGTCTGTCAAATGCTCCGTGGACACCTTCATCTTCTGATTAGTATTGGTGGCTTTGTACCATTGCTGCTGACAGAGAAAGCCATTGATCAGCAGCCGCTGGAGGAAAACGCATAGACCAAAGGGCTGCAGGTGGATTGCAGCAATGGAGGGAGTGATGGTGGCATGCACTGTTGAAAGACCTTCTAACCAAAACACATGTGGGTGTGGTAAGTGACGTTTGCAAAAATAAAAACTCAGAACTCTGATCATTACTGCAATACTACCCAGTGTGCCACAACTATTTGAAACTGCAGGCAGCTTTTGTTTTTCAGTGATTCTTAAGGCAGATTTCTTGTTCTCTTACACACCGCAGGTTCATCTGCTGCCCCCTGGACATCTCTAACTTCTCCAGCAAGTATCTGGGCTCAGTCACTTTGAAGAGCACTGCCACATGTCATTTTGCACAGATTTGTGCCGCTCAGTACATTGTATAGTTGTATTTTTGTTTGGTTTTTTTTTTTGGTAGGGTTTGTTTGGTTGTTTTGTTTTTAAGGGAAATAACGAGTCTGCAAAACTGCTCCTGAAGTATTTTTTGTTTGTTTGATTGATTTTTGCTTGAGACCACTTGAAATCTCATTTCTTGCAATTTTTCTGGAGGGTAGGTGCAGGTCTTTTGAAACACTAATCTAGCAGAAGCTCTTTCAGGTTTCTCCTAACGTCTATTGCAAAATAATGGAGTTTGTTCTTTGTTAAAAAAAATCCTACTTTATTTCTGTGTGATGAACAGCTCTCATATTTCTGTAACTGCTTGACAACTTCTCCATATAATGTGATAGTATTAAACACAGTGTGTCCTAGTATTAAACACAGTGTGTCCCTATTACTCATTGTCAGAAAATGTAATTGTAGAGTCTTTTACTTCTCACTGATACCCATGACTTTCAGATCTGGAGTGAGGCTTCACTTAAACCTCTTTAACCTCTTAAGGCTCTGAAGCCTGTAGCTTCACCTACTTTAATGTTTTCTTTTAAGTTACTATTCCTGGTGCTACATGATGTTTTGATCATTTATCTGGACTGGAAACGTTCTTCCACTCAAAAGACCTGCTTTGTTCTAGATATGTAGTAGAACACGCAACTCCTCTTTAGACTTACTTGGAAGTGCAGGTTTGGAAGGCAACAAGAGATCAGAATAGGTGTAATTTTAAAGTAAAACCTTTTAATCTAACTAAATGCTTGTTGCTTGCTTGCTTCATGTATAATTGAAAAGTCTAGATTCTCCTAAATATTTGAAGATATAATTGATTTAAGTGAATCTGAAGGTAAGGGAAGTTAGCATAAAGCATTTTATACTTCAATTTGCTACCTGATGTGGTTACTTGCCTTGCAGCAGGTTGATGTTTGCAGCTTACAGTTTTTCTCACATTGCAGCTGTGTTATGCATTATGCAGAAAGACTTTGAAGTCCTCTGTAGGAGAATCTTCTTTATATAAATGCCTAAAATTATTGGCTTAATGGAGTTTCACTATCACTATAGTCTAGTATATGTTTGTGCTAATTCTGACAACTGCCCCCATTTTAGTTTTCTCAGAGCACATCTACACACCATAGTCCAGACTATGCTGCACCTGCTCCATCCATATACCGTACTACCCATATGCAAGCAATATGGCAGGGACTCAAGTGTCTGCATTGGGCTTGGTGCTATGCTAAGCCATGAGTCTTAAGCAAGAGTTCCATCAATTAACACAACTCTCTTGTATATTGCAATCATCTTGCACATCAGGCTGTTCTTTAGAGGTGGTTATTTTCTCAGTGCTGTGCTAACACAGTGAATGAAACTTGTGCACCAGAGATGATATGCAGATGGTAACGTACCCAGGTGGGTCAGAGTCATGCCTGTATGCAGTTGACTGCAAAGTATCTCTTAACCATATCTTTTTCTTTATGCTCTCGCTCATGGAGATGGCAAAAAACCTCACAGATACTCACTACAAGGTTTGGAGAAAAAAGGCTACCAGGCTTTACAGCTCAGTCTTCTCTGCACTTTTGATAACAGGTATAGGATGAGATTAATAAACCCTGATTGACAGATGCAGGTTAATCTTATTATGCATCAATAAAGTTCCACAAACAGAAATGGTTGGGTCTGAATGTGTGTAAGCTTCACCTCAGGACTGTACTGATACAGCAGCACTCTTCCTGCGCTACAGCTGGCTTCTATCTAGGTAGCTAGGAGTGCTGTTAGAGAAAATTTGTGGCCCTTTCTACCTGAGCATTTAGACAGGCTGATGCAGGGTAGGTTTCTGAAAGTGAGATACAGCAGTGCTAGCTCTTTCCTCCTTTCCCCTCTTTATCTGGCTTCTTTTTACCACTTAATATTGTTTTGTGAGGGGGGGACTAAAAGGGCAAAAGGACTTTAAGGACCTTATTCTAGAAAAGGAAACAATACGAGCAACAAAATATTTGGCAGACGGTGAGAACAGACTTACTAATCAGAAAACCTTCCATAGATGAAACTTACTAAGAATTTTTAATAACTTTTAGTTAGGGGAAAAGAGCTTTCAGAACATTTACATCTGTAGTACTGACATGGTAATAGATTTTATTCTGAATATTAGACATTCATATTTAACCATTTATTCTTTTATGCTTAGATATGCTTTTAGTGTGTGGCATATAATTTAAATGTTCACATATGATCTGACATGGAAAGAGTCTTACAAACTGAGAGGCAGTATGCCTATTACCTAACTTTGACCTCTAGTGATGATCCAGTCTGGGAGAGCCACAATTTTAAATAGCTCACAATGAAAGGTATGGACTTCCAAAAGGCATTTAAAGTTTCTAAGCAGGATGCTTAGCTTTTATATATTGAAGCTCTTTCTGTATCAGATCCATCTTTATGGGGAAGCAGCAGGCAAAGAAAGGCTGAGTCTCACAAGTATGTCTGGGAAGATCTGCAGCCTTTCAGTAGATAATGATTTACAGAATAAAGAACTGCAAATAAACATTTGCAAGTATATCTGTGAATATATTATTCCAATCCTGCAAAAACTTAAATGTAACTAAAACCTACTGTTTAAATCAATGTACTTAGATTTAAGTGTGGTGAATAGGCCTGTTGGCAATCTTAGATTTCAGTCCTTTCACACAAGGTATCTTGGCTAGGTGTTATTAAAAATGCAGTGATTAGCAACAAGACTCAAAGTAACTGGAAAATGGAATTGATGTCTGGAACGCAGTGTAAAGCAGCTCACTAGCAACCAAAAGCTGAATTTTCCTGTAAGCGAAACTAAAGCAAGAGACACGTGAAGCTTTTCAACTGTAATATGGTAAACATGGCACACGCTTTAGGAAATATTCCTTGATATTTTTAAACAATCTTTCAAAGAAAAATCTACATTCAACTACACAAGCAGTTTCAGAGATCTGTCATAATGCTACCTTTTCCTTTTGGTGAGCTCATATACTGAACATAGTGAAGGAGCTCAAGCTTTGAAAATAAAAACCAGTAATGGAATTTGTGGTATTACAAAACTCAAACAAGGAAAGATTAAAGTGACTTTTGTATCAGGAGTAAGAAAATCACACCCACATGCTTTGTGCTCCCCTGAATCTCATCTCACAGCCCTGCTTGCATAAAGATGCTGCAGGGTTTCGTGAGTTCAGGCTCCCATCCTACTGTGTAAAAGAAATCAAGAGGTCAAAGACGACCATTTCTCCTTCACATCTTCAACCTTAACTGTGACAGATCGGCAAGAATTTTCAAGGTAGAGCTACAGTTATTTAAAAACACAGTTAAAAAATAGGTCTTAGAAATACAGAAAAGATGTAAACAGTGAAAGAGCTACTTCAAGCTGACAGGACAAAAAGGCATGTATTGAAGCTACAAGAAGTGCATTTCACATTCAATGACAGGAAAAAATATTCTAAATAAAAAACAAACAATGGAAGCATGAACAAAACTCCCCAAAAAGTCTTCAGAAAAAGAATTCTGAAATGTGGCTATAAAATTCCTATATTATTAACCATTACTTCTAATCCTGCCAACAGTGTAAGGCAGGTGGCCTCATGACCAGTCAAAATCTCATGTAGTTTAGGACTGGGCTAGCACAGTATTAGTACTATATAATACCCATCTTTTTCTTTGGAAATGAACTTCATAAAAACAAAAGCAGAACTTCAAACACTCTGCATACTGCTTATTATTTCCTGTCACAAAATACCACACACTGCAAACAAGGCACTCCAAGGGCATGCAATTGTCCTGCTTACCTAGTGGGAAAAGTACTGCAAAGTCATCATTTTTCTCAAGGACATAAAAAGTGTTGGGGTAACTCTTCATAAGCAAGCAATGCCTCTGGATATGACGTCTATTCATCTGTTATAACTTTTACTCCAAAAAAGGGCAGATCCTTTATTTTAAATAGGCCAAGAGTGTCTGCTGTTTTTCAGATTATATGTTGGGTTTCGAGAATTTTGGGTGTTGTGGAGAACCGCTCTTCTCTCTTCTCCAGCATGGCTCAGCCCTCACTTTCTGCATCATTGTCTTCCCTGCCTGTTGCTACAGACCAGAACTCACAATATCTCATGGAGAAATCAGCATTCCTTCAACATCCATGTTAGTTACTTCTATGCAGATGCAGTATTCCTTGGAGGCAGTCAGCCATGTCTACTTGTTTTACTTAGTATAGCTAACATGCTAGCATTACCCTTGAAAGCAAAATAGTCTATATTAAATTGTATCTGAAAAGCCCTTATCACTCTTGCCTGTAAACTGGAGGAAGGATGGGACTAGTGTATTTCATAAGTAGCAAGTACTATAAAATACATCATAAAGTCAAGTAATTTCCTGTTCATAATTAGGAATTGTGAAGGCAAGTTGCATATGCTGAACATTTAAGCTTGCTTAGTTTCGCTACTCCAGAATATAAACTAGGTGAAATGTCAGCCAGGACTTTTTCACAAATGTGTGCACTATTCTTTGTGAGTTTTTTTTTTAAAAAACAGGAGAAATTATTATTTGTGCATGGAAATAAAATCCCACAGGTTTAAATCCACTGTTTAAATCCCACTGTTTAAATTCAATCATCTACAGCAGTTCTTTTTATAACAGCTAATGGAAATATTGCTAGAAGCGTCTTGCTAAACTCGACTGCATAGCAGAAACCATGGCGACTATCCAAATGTAATGTACACAAAACACTGTGCTGCTATCACACAGCTGTGTATACTGTAACTCTTTGTGTCAGTCATTCATTCCAGAAATACTACACACAAAAAATGGAGTGGAGAAAGGTGCAACCTAACACTTTCCAGACAGCATGAATGGGAGCCTTCTATTTTGAAAGTGATGATTTTGTCTGGGCATACTTACCTGGCATAATTATAAGACTGAATAAATGAAAAGGACTTCATCTGTCATTTTTGCATGCCACTATCTTTAGAAACAGCCAGTTTAAAAGATCTTTGTCATGGGCATTGCATAAATAATTTTATATACATAAGTATATAAATGTATATATATTATCTGTGTGTGTACAAACACATGTTAAACAAAACCCCTATGATGATTTAAAAAACCCATAGCATACTTCATAACTTATTTTTTAGGATAAACTATATTTTTACTTCAGAAATCGAAGCTATTAGTGACCTTTTAAAATGACTATATGTATACAGGACATTGTCAGATTAATATTGATTTTTTTCCCCCTCCATTGCAAGCAAAGTTTAGAGAGTTAGTTTCATACTGAGAAACACTTATCAAGCTTCAATTTTGCTTCTTGAAAGCTGATAATTAGGCCTTTTGATTGTGAGCTTTTTTTTTAATTGTTAAGTCCAAGTAACCAAGCAACTATGTGCAGAAATTAACCTTTTTATTGTATTATATACTGTAGTAGTAAAATTTGTTTGAAGTGCATGATTAAAAAGTTAGTGAAATTACAGAAGGAACAATGTAATATAGCAGTAATAGGTGCATTCACTGTGCATCTGAGAGGAGGAGGGGGGAAAAAAGAAGACTTTTCAACTCATTTTGGCCTAAAGCATATTCAGGTTTCCAGGATTCTGACATCAGAACCCAGATAACACTGGTTAGAACCATAGGGCTTTACAATAAAAGCTAAAATATTGACCATATGATGGCAAAAAATCTTTATTTTGTGGTTAACTTATTCTCTTCTAGCTACTCTCTGATGAAGTTGGTGGTGCTGTAGAGGATGATCTCCTTCTTCTTGACAAAGATCGTGATCGTTCAGCACTGTAGGCAACATGCTTATCATAATTTTGTATCTGAGCCTCAAGGAAATCCCTCTGTTGCTGGCTGATAGTCTGGCTAATCAGTCCAGGGAGAGCTTGAATGTTACCAATTAAAGTTTCCAGTTTAGTTTCCAGTGTAACAATTCTCTTCTCAAAATCTTCACTTCTTTCATTTAAGTCAGAAATCATGTCATACATGATGTTTTGAGTCTGAAAGTAGAAGGATATAAGCAAAGGTTTAGAGACCTTGCAAATAAAAATTTTAACAAGCAGCACGACTCTAAAAGGATTTGTAAATATTTCTGCACTTCACAGACAAAAAAAAAAAAGAAGGATACAAACATTATAACAATATCCAGTATTGTGAAAAAATCTTCCTTGTAGATTCCTGATAAACTTCCTACTAAATTTATTGAGCAGGAACACAATGTGCTTTGAGTAGCACTTTAGTTGTTACGATATAAATGAATCAGTCAAAAGACCAGGCGTTTTTTGGAAGGTCAGGTGCTTAGAAAAGCACCATGTATTTGTTTGCAAACAAATTCTTTGTTAACAGTCAATTGTGTAAGCCACCAGAAGACTGAAGGCTCCAAAGTTGTGATCCATCCTTGTCTCTTCTGTATTTCCTCTGATTTTCAACATCCTCATTCTTCTAAGCCGTACACAAATGTTTATTTGATTGCTCCTTAAACTGAACAGGTACTCCTGAACTGGCTGTAGCAATAGTAGTTGGGTGGATTGTTTTTGAAATGTAGTGTTAAGGAGGCAAACTTCAACTTCATGCTTCCCGGCTTCCACATTCACCAATCCATCCACGCTTTACAAAACTGTTTGGTTTTAGCAAGTATATAGGGTGTAATTTAAAATGCTATAGTGGTCAGTAAAAATGTGATCTGTTCTGATGAAATCTGTTATTTCATAGAGACTTGAAATGCGTTAAAAATAATTACTGAATTTTTTCCTGATAGACTGAGACTTCAGATTAGACTTAAACTATAGTCAAAACCTGGATGTAATTCAGTAGAAAAACTGGTTGAAGTTTATAAACCAGCCTAAGGGAATGAAAATTAATTGAATGACTCAGCCTGAAGTATAAAGCACTTCAGCATCAGATGAGTGTTGATAACCCATTTCTCTGCCCCCTATTTCAAGATACTAGCACAACCCCTGAAAGCAAAACAGTCTACCTTAAATAGTATCTGAAAAGTCCTTATCAGTTGCCAGAAGCACTAGAGTGAAATGTATTTTCAGTAATTGAAGTTGTCAGGTGGTTCTCTAAAGCAAAAGGGGAATGAATACTGAAGAATTTAATCTTTGTTTTGATGCATTTTAAATTGAGGAGGGGTTTAAGGTACATGAAGAGGTGTACAAGAAGCCCTTAGGAAAGGACCATTAAGGCCTCTAATGTAGCCTCAAACTGTGATCAAAGTAACTGTTAAATACTGAGGTCTAATGTGAAACCTGGAATGCTATCACCTCAGCCCTCTAACTCTGTAGTCACTATTCTATATTAATGAAAAATACCAGCAACAGTAGACAAACAGTTTGCAACTGAATAGTCTCTTTTTTTTGGCAGCTATTACTCATTACAAAAACTTATACAAATGCAGACCTGAATTTACTTGTCTAAAGGCACTGCTGCATAAGACAAGCAGAATACAAAACCAGAATGTCTAATTTCAGTCTGTGTAAAAGCCTGTGTACTATGGTCTCTCACAGTAGTCACTATCACTGGGTGGGAAATCTCTTTACTATGCAGCACTACACTACTACAGCCCACTCACAGTTCAGCATTCACCATGACCACTGCAGTCACTTCAGGAGCTCTCAAGATCAGTTTCTCAGCACTAAAATCCTTCTCAAATGTAAAAAAATAAAACTAAAAATATATATATATATATAAAAAAGGTGCATTCAAAATCTGGTCAGAGCCATAAACAAGATGTTTTATTCAGTTGGTATTACCACGAAAACACACACATATTTTCATTTTCTACAAATAGCAGATTTGTTAACAATATTTGCATGTATTATGCATAACATTTTCACTTACAGACTCTCCAGTTTGAAAGAATTAATGTTGAAACAACAGAAATTGCCCACTAACCTTTGCCAGGTCCACCAAAGTGTTGGCTTGATCATTCAGTTTTCTTTGTTCCATTTTTACACTTCTTAATCTAAAAAGTGGAATTTTAAGTCAGTTTTGTGCAAGTGGTCATATTAGTATTTCTAAAAGGCATGCACAAAACTTACAGGAGCAAATAAGTGCATGGACAATGCCTTGAGTACTTTGTGTAAAATCAGAATTGGTCATGTGCCTGCTATAATGGGAAGCATGCTTCTTCAACACCGCAAATAAGGAAAGAGCAAGGAAATGTGATGTTCTTGAGAATACCATTTGCCATAGTCAAAGTTGAATTCAAAAAGTGAGATAACAGTTTATCCAGGCTATATGAAAGAAAGCCATAACATTCCTCGAAGCTTCAGTATCATGACAAGTAGATATAGGAAGAAACATAGAAAACTATTTTTTGTCATTTATGTTGTAGCAAACAAGCATCTTCCCATGCCTACATGACTAGATACAGGTATTAGCCCTGTTCTGTCGGAAATGGATTGGGTTAGCAGGTGTTTGAACCTGATGGAAACACAGTGATAAGTGAGTTTCTCATTACTTTAAACAGAACTTCTATCTGACCAGCAGCTAAATAACCAACATACTTGCCAATACATTTGATTTTCTCCCACAATTTGTGAATCTAAATATGATTACATTTTAAACTTACACATTCCTTTTCAATGCATTATTTAAGCTACAGCATTGAAAAATTATGAAAAAAGCAGCAAAGGTGTATTTTTATATTTTTTTTGCCTACCTCTGTGCATTATAATTATTCATGCACATTCTTTGAAAGACATATTATATGGCCTTTCTTTTCTGTTCTCTTAAACAAAGTTCATGTTTTTCAGATTAACTTCCAGAGGAGTGGTTTGTAGATGTGATTTTCACAGATAAGAAATTCCTTCCTTAAATACAAGTTTATTGTTCCCCATTTCCCAGCACAGAAACACTTGGACTTTCAATGTGTTTTCTGGTGGCTGTTCTAAGCAGGAAATAGCAGTTTTCAAAAACAACATAAAAAAATATTTAAACAATGATGTGTGTTAAAATACTAGTCTACTAGTACCTCAAGGGCCAAGCAAGCTAACCATTTGTTTAGCTGTCAAGTGAAAATAATTTTGGCAGCATTTTGTGGCAGGTGGTTTGCGAATGCATAATCTGCCTATTTCTCAGGGATGGTGTGACTTTGAAAGCTAGTTTAAAGAAAGCCTTTTTGAAGATACCCCAAAATCAGGAAGTTTCTTTTCACATCTTTAGTTACAGGGCATTTCCTTTCTTATCTAAGCTAACCACCATCAGAAAATTAGTTGTGAAGAGTGAAATATCTTTTTAAACACATGGAAATAACACTGTTAAGGTAGAAATCAATTGTTCACATAAAATTGACATTCCAGCAGCTTTTTACTGCTTCCCCTGGAGGTATCCTTCAGAGCACACCATAAATGCAGATTGTGGGAATGGTGCTTTCAGAGGCTGGAGCTATCATAAAGTAAAAAATATGGAGGAGTCTCCAAGGAATGCAGTTACATCATTACAATCTCACACCTGAAGAATTACTCAAAGGTAAGCATGAATGATTTGACTGTAGAATGGTAACCCTAGTGTTTTGGTGAGCATCTCTCAAATAATTCACAGAATATATGTTATCTGCATTTCTCAGCATTCACTGACTCATCTGTTTGCTCATTAGTACTTTAATTTTAAAATACCAAGAAATCCATTGTTATTGTAGCGATACAAGTACAAGCTGACACCAACATGGTAATTCCTCATGATAACCAACCCAATACCTATCACAGACTAAAAAAAATGTCTCTTTGGCAAGTCTTTAGCTTCAGCAGCTGGATTTAAAGAAAACTATCGGAATTTTGTTCCTAAATACATTAAGAGAAAATATGAAACATCTTAATACGAAACTTCACTTATCACAGCAAAAGATCATGATTCTGGATCACATTTCCATGGCAGCAATCAGACCACTGAAGTTCACAGATAAAGACTCTATTTTTTGCATGCAGACAGTGGTAAATTCTGCAAATTTAGAAAGGAAGAGCTTATACAACTTACTTCCGAGCTCTATTTTCATTTTGTTGAAATAAAAAGACAAAACAAAAGAAAACAAACTGTAAAATATACTAAAACAACCAAATGAGCACAGTGAGCTCGATTCATCAGGTGGGAGTCCTAAGGAGCTGCTACTTCTTTCAGTCAGTAACTGCCTGAGGTGGAGTCTAATTCACTTCCATTTATGATGCAAAAACCTGCAACCTGCAACAGCTTCAAACCTCCCAATTAACTATCATCTGTAGATTTTTCTATTCATACAGTACACAGAGTGCTTTTTGATACTATAATTTAGAATGATGATTTCACCATCATCTCATTTAGAGTACATGAGAAGCAAAAAAAAGATCCAGAATAGCTGAAGGCAGTTTTAGAGCTGTGACCATGAGTTTGATACTGCTTCCATGATCTGCTGTGGTTTCTTGTATAAAACTGGCCCTGAAACTTCATTCCTTTTAGTTCTGTCTCCAGAGAAATGGTTGAAAAGGTGAAGGAGGGTGACAAACAAAAAAAAAAAATAATCCAGAAAGATGGAAAAGAGACATACACATCATGAGCCACTTGAGAAAAGTGCAAAAGTGCTAGAGCAATGTTTTAATCCATGGCATTTTCTTCAGCATTTTTAGAAAATTATCCTGGTTTTGTTTTTGGTTGGTTGGTTGGTGTTTTTTTTGTTTGTTGGGTTTCATTTTGTTATTTATTTTTTGTTTGGTTTTTGTTTAAATAAAAATTTTTTAGAAATGGGATGCACAGAACTAAAGGATAAAGGGAAATTCATTATTAAAATAGCTGTTCAAAGTTTGGCTGGCACAGCTAAAAAAAAAACTACTGCTGTCACCTTCTTCACCCCATCTGATTAATGAATTTTTAAGGAAGATGTAGAACAACACTTTACATCCTGTGAAGCTCTTCTGGGCTTGAATGATATATAATGTTGCAGATAGAGCCTGCTGTGCTTTTTAGATTCTTCTCTGAATATGCATACTCTTCTCTGAACATGCATACATACAGACACACACACAGACACACAAAATAAATAGCAAAGTTAAAATATGAAGAAATAACCTTTGCAATCAAGGATTTAAGTCCAGCAAAGGATGCACAGGGCATGCTCTATTCCAGACCCCCTGCTACTCTTCTCTGCCTCCCAACCCTTTAAGCTAAGAAGGATGACCAAACTGGGAAAATATACTTTTTTATATCCACACAAAAATGCCTTGACTTTTGTCATCTTTTTATTCCTTCCAAGTATTTCTGCAATAGCACAGTAAAATTTAATCCTGTAAGTTTGCTAAATATAATATACTAACCAAGGTTTATAGGATACTTCACACCTTAAGCTTAGCAACCTATTATTTTAAAACATTGCTATGAAATGGAGATACTGTTAGCCTAAATTTATTAACAGGAAATATGATAACCTGGCCTTTCCTTCCTGTTTTTCCTGCAAGATGACATAAAGGTGTTCTTTTCATGATGGATCCTTTCCTTGTATCTCCTCACAGGATGGCTCAGACACAGACCCACACTGAAAAGTTATCAAAACGTCAGTTTGAAATTAAACTTACTTGATTTATCTACATCCCCCCTGTGTTTCATGGGAACTAATTGCATGGGCTGTACAAATGGCTGCCTCAGGCTGGATGGGGCCACTGAATAGAGCAGACTCTATTGTGTCATGGGTCTTGACCATTCTTCAAAAAGTATCTATGGTTCCTGGGGACAAAAGTCTCTTTTTTTCTCCCCTATGTAGTCCAAGGAAAAGTAACTGAATCATTGTACAATTCTGCTGGTTTTGATGTGCTTCATGACAGATATGTATTATGAATTTTAGATGAATACTTATAATCTCTCAATACTATAATTCAGCTTAATCATGCTACTGGTTACAATTCTCGGGTTTTCAACCCTAGAAGATTTCAGTGGAGGGGAAGAACTCATCTGAATCTTGTCAGAGGTGCTCAAAGGTGCTAACGTAATGACTGTTGGCACGTACTCCCATTTTCCCCATGTCAGGGGTCATAGCTGACATACCAACATTTGATTTTAGGCACTGAGAATATATGATGGAGAGAGACAACTGCGGGGTATGTCCAACAACACTTGATGCATATTCTTTTCATTAAAAACAACATACCTACTTCTAGGCTCTCTTCTATCACATCATTCTGATTATTAATTATTAAAACATCTACTACTAATGAAACTTTCTTCATTTTCTTCTGTCTGTTGTAGCTTGTATCTTACTACCTGTAAGCAAATGTGCAACAGCAAAGGATCATCTCAGCAACAAAAGACAAAGTCTTAGATAATTCAAGAAGCATAGGAAACTTCTAAAACAACATAAACAAGTTCTATTTACTGTGGACATATACAACCAGCATACTTTTTAATTTTTTTGTAAACAGGTAACATAGTAAAAACTTATAATTGTTTACCCAAGCGAAAAAACAACCTCAAGAGCAATTTCAAGTATAAAGTGGAGAGAAAAAGGAGGGCGGGAGGGAGCAGGATGGGACATGGAGACTGAGAGTGACTATGAGGGAAAGAGAAACTAAGAGAAACCTGGAGAGAAAAGCCAGAGCAAAATAGTACTTACTGATGAATAGCTTGCAAGAATTTGCGTTGATGTTTCCTTACTTTTGCATGGTCTATCTTTTTAACCAACTTTGTGTTTTTATAAATTAACCATGTTTCCCTGAGTACATTGGCCGCTGCATTTTTCACCTGTTTGATAAAGAAAAACACCAGGCTGTCAAAAGTAGCATTATGTCATGTTTTCTCTGTTCTGGAATAAACTCCTTCTAAAGCACTTAAGACCCTGCCTAACCGTGGGAAATGGATACACAAGAAATGAAACACCGAGGGCAGAAAGAATAATTGGACCAAGGGGACTGCTGAGCAATTTCCATGTTACTTATAAACTTGGGACCAGGTCTCTTTGCATTGAAGAATAATTTCTCTCTTTAAAGAGGGAGCACTGTTTGGTGGTTTTGACAATATAAATTACAGTAAGGAAATACTAATGCTTTATCTATATGGTAAATAAATTAAAATGTGTTTAATAGTATCATAAAATTTCTCACTTTCTTATTTATGGTTAGTACCTCTTCAATCTCTTAGCAATTTAACAGTCTCTTAAAATATCCAGAGTGATTTGAATACACTTTTTTCCTTTTTTTTTTTGTTTATATTTTTATTCTTGTTTCTTTTTTACTATTTTCCCAGGAGATTTAAAAGATCTTGTGAATTAATATGGCCAGTGTTCTGTTTCATAAGTCCTTTGATTATTTTTTTAATGAAGCTTTCCATAGAATGTTAAATGTAAGAACCTACAGTTCTTCAGGCCCTCCAAAACTTTCAAGAATGCTTAAGAACATCACAGAACTTCAATGCAATGTTGGTTAAAGTCAGAATAGCTAGCTACTTGCAAAGAAAAACTGTCCTTATTATTCATCTGTATTTTCTCTCCCTTCAACTTTATATCATGCCAGTCACTGCAACATCAGAGCTAAGTCAATGTTGAATGAAAGCCATCACAAGAATGCCATGCAGAAGCTCTCCCGAGCAAGAGATTCCCACCTTGTCCCTGGAGAAGTGTTGGAGAAACTTTGTCCTGCCTTTGGTCAAAGCACAGTCAGCTTGTGACCTGACGTGCATCTCAGATTTGTTTCCTAGGTTTGTTATTCATGTTCTCTGAGTTTCAGGAGTTTGAAGCTACCCAAGCACCACTTGGATACAATATCAGACCAATATTTATATGAAGAATTGTATTTGAAGAATTTGTATTATGTATTCATATTGTATATGAAGAATTTGTATTATGAAGAACATATAAATACAATATAAATACAATAAACCTTAAAAGGCACAAATGAACACCAGACTCAAAATCTGGTCAATCTTTACAAAACCCTTTTCTTCCCTGAAAGACAGTTTGAACTCAGCTGTCAGATTACCCTAGAAAAGTGCCCTTATTAGGAATGAACAAGTTTGTGGTTTAGTATCAACTTAACTAACTGTAACAGGAGTGCAAACCAACATGCTCAGACAGAGAACTAAAGTCAAAGACTTTTGTACCTATATAAGAACTGTCATCCCACTCATCCTTAGACTTTCCTTGACATGACTGCTTAGGGGAGATACAGGCTGTCAGTGCTGATGGGCACAGAAATGAGGGAACCAGCAAAACCAGAACAGCCTGCCAGCATAACCTGGAAACAGCTTGTGGAGACATGACACAGCTCTCTGCAGCAGAGGACCTGCAGCAGCACAGCACTGCACTGATGCACGGCGCTGTGCTAGGCAGCCAACCTCCTTCCCACATGGACCAGAGACACAGTTTCCTGCTCAGGCATCCATCTCTCCACCCATCAGCAGGGATAAGTTCTGCTGAGTTCTGTTGCAAGGACCTTCCTTTCCATATTGGCTCTTCTCAACAATGAAGATCAAATAAATTGAGAGGACTGTGTAGATCCCACTAATTTTTTTGTATCCTCAACAGTGACCTGTTTTATTTCAATAAAGGACTTCTATTGACTGTTTGCCACATTCTCTCATTTTCCCAAATGTTACTGTATTTCAAATGATACTTCATTTATATTCAAATACTTTAAGTTACATTTCAAAAGAAAAAAATTACAATATTTTTTATTAATTTAATGATTTCTAGAGGATTTTTAAAAATATTCCCTTCTAATAATATTATCCACAAATGTTGCTCAAGGTACTTCAATAATTATGTGCTGCTAAGTGAACCCTTTGTTGAGTGCAAAAGGCAGTTGGAAAGACTGTCTCGCTCACAATCTATGAATATGTCTTTTTCTTAAGAACACCGTTCATAGCTTGTAATTCCTGTATCAGTCGTTTCACCTATTTTAGCTAGAAAAAAAAATGCCTATTCTTCTCATATGTGGCATGAAGTTTTTTTAGCTTAACATGTCTTTAGTTTTACAGCATTTAGCTGTTGATTATACCTATTATATTGCAGATGCAAGAGAATATATTCTATACAGCATATTCAAATTTTCAATATCTGACAGTTTCTCTCAATTTAGAGAAAATCTTTAGGCATTCAATTCCTTCTCCTTGCAAAATCACACCCTTGAAAAATTTCAGTATAATGGAGCAGGAGACTATTTAAAACAAAAGCAGAAATAAATTAACACACATTTCCTTTTCAGTTGTGAATATAAATTGTGACTTACTCTTTTAGTTAGCTGGGTGTCCATCATGAAATTATGCACATGTTTTTCTGCTTTGGTAAGTTCTAACTTCCTTGCCACCACAGCTACCACCAGTGCAGTACACCCAGCACCCTGAAAATAATAAAACAAATCCCCAAGATGTTACTATTACATTTTGCACACTTTTTTGTTTCAGTTTTTTCTTTGCTGTAGAAGTATGGCAGGCACCAGGTGGTTTATCCCTGGTAAATATAGTGAACATGCTAAAGCTATTTCAGTTCAGAGTAATAGGAAAAGTCTGTAACTACTGGCTGGTCTGTCAAGGCATCAAAATATTCGTGAGCAGTATCATTTAAAAGTTTATTTTTTCTTCCTGCATGAGTTGAAAATCTGAACACATCCCATTTGTAGTCCATAAACAATACTTTTGTTTTGACAAAAACACTTTTAAACCCCAGAACAGTTAGTAAATAAATGCCCTGGTTTTAACAATTGTCTAAAGGTTACAGCAATTGCCAAGAAGAAATAAGATTAGATTAGTATTGAGCATACAAAAAAAAGCTTTTTATGATTTTCTGAGGGTGTAAAAATAATCATAAATTTAGTATTTACTTACTTAGTATACTTCCTTGTTGTTCTCCGAGTCCTTCAATTATCTTTTCTTACAGTATTGCTGCTTATCTTATTACAATTTAAAATAGCACACATACACAAGACCATTTCTTCAAAACTTGGATGGGAAAAGTGTCAATTAATTTTCTAATTTGTGTTGTGTATATGTATGCAAGAAGAGCTAAAGCCAGTACGTACCTCTCCCTTTGAAATGACAGCACCTTTATCACCATCACAAATTTAAATGTGGTGTTTTTTTTTCAGGGAGGAAAGCAAAGGATGCCAAATGAACTAGGTAATGAGAAGCAACATTACAGACATCTAAAGGTGTCATTTACTTTACACTATGAATAAATTCTGCTGCCTTAGTTTTATTTTTGTTTTGTTTTGAACAACTCTTTACAAGTTCTTTTTTTAAAAAGTACAAAAAGAACATGAAATATGCCAGGCTGTGTTTAACTTGCAGTTTCACCCCAATCTAGTTATTACTGCGCCTGCGTCAGCTACTGTCCAGTATAAAGCAATCTCTTGTTGTACACTGAAGTTTACCGCATTTTCATTCGCAGAGCTTTCTTCCATTCTTTCTCTATTTCTCCATTCTCCACCTCTATGAGTGCCTTACTCTCTCCAGAAAATCCAGAAGAAATACCTGAATCCAGCTTCACAATAAAATTCCAGTAATAAACACATAGAGATTGCAAAATAAATTAACTCATTGGAAACCCTTATTCACATAGTGTTCTCAAGAGAAAAAAAAAAAAAAAAACCAACAAAAAACCTGCTTTCTTTGCTTACTTACTGAGGCACACAATGAATTTTGTAAAAGACTCCAAGCAATTAATTCTTCATTCCCTGGTATATTGTTCCAACAAATCCACCTGCTCCCTCACAAACACCTAATTCTCTGCAATTAATTCTCACCTAGCAAAGCATATCCCCAAGGAGCTCTCCACATTTCTTTGAATGAGTCCTTTGTAATTTTGCTGCACTTCCTTTTCCCCTTCAGTGTTAAGTACCAAGCTTTCTAGTTTCTGTTCTTTCTGTTGGTGGACATTTACTTGAAGTTTTGCTCCCCCCATGAGGTGACTCAAAATGGGTCTGTAAGTTCCTTGGCTTCCCAGTAAGATCATTAAGAGTTAAAAAGGTGGATGATGGACAATGCAATTTAAGGCTGAGCACTTCAGAAATCCACCAAGCCCTCTGAGAAGTCAGAAGATGCTCTACCATATGCCCTACTTCCCAGAAAATACACAGCTCTCCTTCAGTCTCCTTTCTGTGAAAAATGGCAGAAGGGAAGTGTTGAAGACCTTTGTGGGCAAATAAATAAATGAGTTACCCCATACATGAAGAGAAAAGCAGACATCTTTTGGTCCAGTATGTCAGGATAACCAGGATCAAATTAATGACCTAATTTGAGTTCTACCTGCTGATAGCATGAATGCTAAAACAGAATGAAAGTATTCATAGCAACACCCCTGGCAAAGTGGCACAATACGGCTGTTTATGCCAAGTTACCAGGGCAGAGAAATATTAGATGCCACTTCCCACAGCCCCCCAAAAAGCCAGAGGAATGGTGACAGACCAAAGCAATTTGGTCTGAATTGAAATTATTCCAGCCTTTGCGATGAATGCTTTTCAGAGTGACCCAGCTGTTACAAGGGCCAAACACTGTTAAAACCAGTAGCTTTTTATTTCATATTAAAGACTCTGCCTGCAGCAGCAGAATACTGTCACCAGCAAGCTATGACAACCACATCTGTGGTGTATATGCACAGCAGTGCATATATGTATTCCTTGGCTCTAGAACAGCTTACTGCACCAGCAAGGTATTCCAACATTCAGGTTACCCCTCTTGGCTTTGTGGGGTATGAAGGATCTCAATACATGAAAATGAGCTCATTTTAGCATTTCTGCAAAAGAATGAAGTGTTATACTGTTTGCATGTTTATGTTTCACAGTACCTTGAAGGAAAACAATCTACACCCATTATTTAAACAACTAACAGCTTACAGAAATAAGATTGAAATTCCACTTAAAGTACATAATGCTATATAATATTTTTTATTACAAAGGTCTGTGCTATTTTAGGGCTCTGTAAAGATCTCAGCATCCTTAAAGATACTAATAGAGTGAGAATTATTCCAAACTGCAGAAATGAAGTAGAGGCAATACAGTTACTTTAAATGGCAGAACCACAAGCATCAAACTTTCCATGTTTTGGAATATCCTGATTCAGATGAAAATCAGTAGCATGAATTAATTTAATTCATGCTCATGTGCTCAGGTTTTTTTTTTTTCTTATATCAAGACTATAATGCAGCATCTACTTTTTTATTAAAATCACTTAGGCTAAGCAAAAGCACTATGGCATTAATTTCAACTGCAAGGAGGGCTATTTTGAAAATAGAATTCAAAAAAGTCATATTTGATTACTATATTTTATAATTTCCAACATAATTCTATTTTTCCTGTTATGAGTATAGTAAACCACTGCTTCAAGCTCTTGCTTAACTTTCAGGGGAATTATACATAATTAAAAAAAAATTAAAAGGCCAGTATATATTTTCAAGTAACAAGGCAGCAATTATTTCTACTTGGAATTTGCTCTCTTCAGTCAGCCTCCTGTCCACCTCTTGCATTAGAGATTGTAGTGTATTTTGACTTGGTAAGCACACTGATTTTAAGGGCACTAAGGACTTGCAGTGTGTCAAAAGTTGAGGGAAAAGAGAATGAAAGAATATTCATAACATTCCCTCATAAGCCCATCGCAATTTCAGCTAGATATATATATGTGAAAGCCACCAACTTCCACCTCACTGAACAGTCCATTTAAGAATGAGTAATAGGACTACAACTATGCCATCTCAGCCAAAAGAGGTGACCTAAAATAGTTTTGTATTATTTGTACTGCATATATTCATAATGCCTCCCTGGCTACTATTGTCTACAGTGGAGTTTGCACCACAGCTAGAATTTTATTGCAACATTTAAACTTCTAATCTATAATGTGTCTGCTACAGCCATAGTTGGTTCTATTATTCCTTTCTCTATGGCATCACATACAGAACATTTGCCCTCAGTTGCAGTATTTTGTAACTCCTGGCTCCTCCTTCTCATGACTCTAGTAAGCCGCTTGAGACACAATCTTTTGCATCGTCTCTTGACTTAGGAAAAACTTCCTGGAAACATGTGCAAAGCTAATGCATAGTTTTCTTTCAAATTCTTCCCCCTCTTTTTAGGATAGCAAAGCCTAGCAAAACCAGTGAAGGTACTTAAGAGTCTGGTATGCCAAGATCATTTGTTCTGATCCTGCATAATGCCCCCTTGTTCCCCACTCTCTTTGCTATATGGGGATGGTAAACTGTTCAGGAACTTGGACTACATGTTGGTACTATCTTTATACAGTACTGGTATCAACAGAATCAGGTGTTAAGAGTCCTGAACATAAATAACAATAAATAATTAAGGTAGGTCTGGATTAACCAATTACACAGTACACATCGTAACAGCAGACCTGACTTTGTCTTTTTTTTTTTCCTCCTTCAGATCCTGATGCGCTTTGCTGACATAACGTATCAATGTACTTACTACATACTATACCAGCTGAGATGCCTTCAGCAGTCTTATCACAGTCCCTTGTCCTCTTCGCTGATGCAGCCCTGCCTGAACTTTTTGCTGCTATCATCAGAACCACCAGACCAAAGTTGACTAACTTAAAAACTACCACATAGAATTTTACATTACGGTAAACCCAAACAGATAAAGCCATGACAGCTAGAGGGAAAAAGCAGGTGTTGCCTAAAGCATGCAATGAGGGTGAGTCTACGGAGTTTAAATCAAGGCCATGACTTTTGTACTGTTCACAAGTGCCAGGACTGAGGGTTCACACTGGTGCAATACACAGTGATTGCAAAACTGCAGCTTCAGGCTCCTATAAAGTCTAGTATTTATATCTAACTTCCAGGTAAAGGCCAAGTTTTAGTGATAAACAAAATGAGGTGCTTGCAACTTTTCAACTGAAGGGTTATCTAAGGTAAAGAATAGTTAGCACTGGCTGATAAGCTGCACTGAAAACAGCATTTGGTCAGCAGAGAAACCTGGTACTCTAAGTAAATGCCTCTGGCATTTCCACTTGGTTCCTTCTTTGCTAAGGTTCCAAAATAACTTTACAAGGCAGCGATGAATTTCTGCAGCTGCCTGGAGGTCATATATATGCCTGGAGGGTGCTACTGGTGTGAAAGAAAACAACACTCCATGCCAGTGTCTCAGCTGAAAATCCCCTGGCAGTTTTGGTTTAGTGGACTGGAAATGAAGTGTGGTCTTTAGTGCTGCAACTGCCACAGAAATGTGGCTGTACTTGCCTGTAAGTGAAAGAAGGCATTTCCCGTTTTTCTTTCTCACTTCCCTTGGGATCCACTGAGGGAGTGAAAAGGTCCACTTTGCAGCCATATTTTACGTAAAGAAAACTCTCCATTCCATTACCAGGAATGAAAGACCATGGCAATGGTGCAAGGATATATAGTCTACAAGCCAGCAAATAAATATTTCTTTATGATGAACATAAATTTTGCAATTAATTGCAGCAAACTTAATCTTGTATCTAGTGAATAAATTCAGAAACACTCACCATTATTCCAGTGAGTAAACAGACTCCTTTCCCACAGTAGGTATTAGGTACCATGTCACCATATCCAATAGACAAAAAAGTTATTGAAATCAACCACATTGCTCCAAGAAAGTTGCTAGTAACATCCTGTTGATCGTGGTACCTGAAAAGAAAATGGTTTTGTTATTGTGAAAACTTTTATTAAACTTTTGCGCTGTCAGAAAGAAATCGTATTAACTGGTCATACAACCATTCTTCTTATTACCTTTTTGAGAGCAGCTATAAGGAAATAAATAAAAATCAAATACAATTACATCAGCAATAAAGAAACAGGAGGTACCACAGCACCAGTAGTAGAGCTACTCAGATGGTTCATAATTTAGTATATTATTATTATTAAAATGTTGCTGTTATTAAAATAGCAGAAGCCTCAATAATTTAATAAAATCTCTTCATCAGGGGTACAAGTCCTGCTAATCCTCTGCAGCAGTGTAAGACACCAGTCTACTATAGTTGCTGCAGTCTGAGGCAAATATGAAAGTCAAAAAAGGATGTGTGAGCAAGCAGACAGTGGAGCATATCTCCATCGCCTTGGCCCAAACACAAGTCTGTAACACGAAATCTGATCAAGAACTATCCTGTAAATGCTTACTTAGACAACCTAAGATCTTCCCTCTCCTTCTACGTGCCCGAGATAAATAGAAAAGTATGGCTTTGTATTTTTCATCAAAAGATCTTTACCAGCAAAATCTTTGTACAGATCTTTGTACAGCAAAACCTTCTTTTTGTATTGACAACTATTAGGTCTAATTTCCTGATGTGCCATTTGTTGTCTTAGTTTTAATATTCCAGTGGAATATATTAATTTTCTCCTTCAAAGAAAAGAACTTCAGATAAATAATCTAGTCTTCACATAATTTATATACTTAATCAACAGGGAAGCCATAAGGACATATTTTAGGCTTAAAACTGTTACCAAGACTCATTCTGTGCGGGGAAGAATGCCTTATTAGGCCTTATTATTATGCCTAAAGTAGGTGGAATTTTGCTCCCCACACAGAGTAGCTCTGCAACAGAGACTATCTGTGCTAGCTCAAGGTGGCAATAACCCCTGCAGCTGCTGTGAAGCCTTAGATTAGCTAGCTATGCTGTTGGATCCCTAATGGTATTATTTTAGCCAGTCCCTAAATCCGTGTTGAAGGAGTGATTTCTTAAGTTAAAAATCTGTAAGTAAAATAGAGACAACCTAAAAGAGGGATGGGAGGAGGGGTGTCACTGTCATGATAATCCCATCATTTCTATGCCAGATTTATAGGGAGGTGGATTGGTTTTGCCTTGGGTTTTTTGCAACCTCATTCATGATTTTTGAATCTCTGTTACTGGTAATTCTGGTGCATGCCTACACCCTTCTGATTTTTGTAAGATTACAGTTGTGCCAGCACACACTTTCAAGTGCTTTACTATGTCATTAGGCACCACCACCACCTGGGATTCAAGCCTGAATGAGGCTACCCTGCATCCACAACATCTCATTCAGCCAGACAGTGAAAGACAGCTCGAATGTGACACACTTCACAATTCAACTGCTGTTCTCCTAAACTACCATTCATTCTGTATCTGAGAGCACTGAACTCTGACTGGAAAATAACATACTATGAGCAGCTCAGAAACACAAAAGCTCAATAAGTAAAGAAAGAGAAACAATTTCTGCAGCAAGTTCGACACAAAACAAAATACAGTCACTACCAAACAGATTTCAGAATATAAGCATTTTGTTATTAAACATCAGTTTGAAAAAGGTTTTTATTTTTTATAGCTACTTGGTTTTTTTATTTCAAATCACTACAAAAACATTTATTTAAATATTTAAAGCCACTACTCTTAGTCAATTAAAACATGCACTAGAAACACTGTAAAACAAACACTAGAAACAGCCATATGTCAATAAAATCTAGTATTTCACTGCATTAAAATGGCAGCTATAAACAGGCTGAATTTCTGGATTATATCCAGCCTCACACTGCAGCAGAATGTAGGATTATTTAGAAAAGCTGTTTCTTCCCCCAGGGTAGAAAACTCCTTGCCTGAAGTCACGCAGGCATAAGTGTGATCTATGACTTCTCTCCTTTGAAGAAATGTGCTAGCAGGCAGGGAGTGGAACTTACTACTCACTAGGCAATAGTCATCCTGTGAAACACCCTTATTCACTGCTCTCTAACAAGCATATGTAAGTCCTGCCACTACTCCAATTAAAACCAAAAATAGCTGAACTATTACATTTGTGCAAAAATAGCATGGCTTGATTCCATCCCAAGGCAAATTTAGTGGGAGTTTTACCATTCATCTCAGGAAGACATAAATATTCCTCAGCTGACAATACTGCAGTGGCTTGGGTTGTCAAAGCACTATTCCAGATTCTTTATCAAACAGCAGTCCTTTTCTTCTCTATCAGTACCGTGATTTTCAGTCCCACTTTCCTTCAGAAATATGTTCATATTTGATGACATTTTATTTAATTGGTAAATCATCCTTCTAGCTGCACACAGTTACCACACATTGACATCTTGACACCTAAGACACGTTCATCTTAGATGACTAAGACAAAATCCAGTATAACATGAAACTTGATCATATTCACATTAATTCACACTTAGGAGTTTGATTTCAGTTAATCTCACTCCATGGACAGCCTCTGGTAACTGCCATCTTTGTTTTGGCTTTCTTGAACAATTCAAGGAAAGAACTAAAAAACCTCTTTTTGTAGGGAAGAAAATGCTTTTACCATAATCATCAAGAAATTCCTAGTCTGCACTTCAGTGGCAATCCAGGCTGAGTTTAGTTTTGTCAAACCTTAAAACTTTTAGACTAATAACAGCTGGAAACAGGCTCAGGCCATTAAATCAGAAACTTGCCAAGACTGTTGAGACACTGATAGATCTAACCAGCCATTAGAGCTCTCCCACAGTATCAGGCCATTCTGTTACTATGTGCCTTTTTACTCTTAGTTACATGGTAGGTACTGGCAGCTTTTCATCTCTTAACACAGATAAAAATAATAGACAGGTGATGATAATAGACAGGTCTTTTTATTCCGTCTCTCTTCCTTTATCCCTTCTCACTTATTCAAAAGAAGGAATATAGAAGGAATGGCGGGGCTGACTCCTAATAAAGACAAGGGAATAAATTTTGGCTGCCTTGATGAGTTAAGGATCAGAAAGGAAGCTTGAAAAGTGTATGCCATTCCTTGTCTTTTTTTTTTGACATGCCTGTTGACATCCCCCAAATATTTATGAACAGCAGCACAAATGTTGTCGCCATAAAAAAGCACTAGGAAAGTGCAACACACTATGGCCACTGGATATCATACAGACTCACATCAGCAGCAGTTCAGAACCCAACCAAAAGTAATGGATGCGAGTAATCTGTCTGAATTGCTTCTTCGCGATCAAAATGTTAATGATTTTTCTATTAAGCACATTTGTGGACTATTTATGGAAAACTAATAAATCTAACAGAGAAATGTTCAGTATCTTTACATAAGCAGCTTGTGTTATTCTGTTAGCTAAGATGGATGGAAAAATAATCTAAAAGAAAACAAGAGGACAGAGGAAAGAGAAATCAACACACACACATAAAAAGGTGAGATGGCATGTTTTAAGAAATTTTATACTTATATTCTTTAATATAAACTGCAGCTAAATATAAGTTTGTAGGCATAAAACTATTTAGGCTCCTAGCTGCTGTCAGGCATCTACTTCTCAATGCCTGGGCAATGACTAACCTGCCAGCAGAGAAGGTTTATGGACGAACTGCCATTTTTTCAAAGGGTACCAAACTTTCATTTGACCTCCACTGGTAAAGGTCTTCTCTTGTTTTCCTGGTGCTGTGAAGAGCTGACGCTCTGCTAAATCAGTACAGTTGTCTGCAGTCATGGTAGATGGAAAGATTTTCCATCTTTCCAAGAGAAGCCATTCATCTATAAACATAATCTAAAGATAGCAAAGTTGCTGAAACTCCTTGAAAGAGTTATCTGACCTTTTCTTTTAGTTTTTTATTTTTTTTTTTAACCTGCATTCAATAATTGTGTAAGAAACTTAAAGAGAATCTGTTGAATCAATTCTACAAGTATTAGGAAACTAGGAATTGGAAAACCTTTAAATTTGTGATACAGCACTCTACTAAGAGGAACAGCAGCAAAGATAAGAGCTCTCAGTATCAGTTTCAAGCTACATGTAGTTCACTGAAAAAAAACCCTTCAGAAATAGAAGTTTTAGAAATTGGAAATAGAATTACTCATAATGAACTTAAAATTAAGCCCATCTTTTTTCTGACATAAAATGGCAGAACTAGGTAAATGTTAGCCTTTCTTTTTTCTTGTATGTCGAAAAAGCGGGGATAAAAAATAAGGAGGGGAAATTATACAGCAAAGATGATGCCGAATCTCAGAGACTACTTTCTGTCAAATTGAGTACTCTGAAGGTATTCTTCTTTCATGGAACTAATTTCGTTTATCAAATGCAAATTACTATTTTTTAATATCTTGGTTTTCTACAGCAGAAGCTGATGTATTGCCTTCCATAAAAAGGAAGGAAGTAAAAGCTCATGGCCATAAAACCTGAGTTTTTTTTCTGAACAAACTCTGGATCAGAGCATAAGCATGTGGTCAGTGCAAAAAATTTCCATTGACTGCTTCAGATTTTGGACTAGGCTCACACCGTCTATTACGAACACTGCTGGAGCCATATGCTTAACTTAAATCAAGCTAAAGTATACTTATTCCTTGAATATATTTTAGTTTACTTTATGAAAAGGAAAAGCCATATTGAGTTTAGTTTCTGTTACGTCACACTGCTTGAAACTGGACAGAGTTTACTGAATATTCATAAAGATCATTTCAAAACCATACTTTGTGTCCTTCTGAGAGTCATCTGAAAGTTATGAGTTTATTTGTAATGTACTAGGGACAGTCAGTACATTTAATATTATGAAACATGAAGTACAAAAATATAACTATATATTGCTGTATAGCAAATGAAACAAGGAAAGCACTTGTAACCTGAATATTTTCCACTTCAATTTTTATGTATGAAAGTTCAGCATGAGGCTGTCAATACTTAAAAAAGAAAGTGTTCTCATTTTTAAATTTTATTCTTTTCATCAATC